ATGCTCATCTTCAGTTAACGGCCTAACACCTAGGAACATTACCACAAACTTAGAAATAGTAAAGGCATACATAATTCAACATTTAAAGTTTCATATGCACACAAATAGTCCCTTAATTCAATCACAACCAGAGTTCTACAAATCCAAATGACTTGCAAGAGGACATTCTGGAAAGCTTATAAAATTCTCTATAATTCATTTGTAAACATCAAAGCATGATTCTTAAGTTAACCAAATCAAATTCCAGTAGACCCAGAATCTGTCCCGCAATGACAGGGTTGCTAACTTAATTATTTAATGATGATGCAAAAGCATAATTTGATCAATCCAAGTTTACCAACTTGTTTTTCATACCTAAGAAACATCAGAAAGTAAAGTGCCAACTTCTAAATAATTTATTTAATATCCTTTTCTAATTTATTTAGTTAATTAGGTGATTTAAGCAATATATAGTAAACTATTCATAAAAATCTACAAAAATTACAGTAGCTATCTCATGCTGCACATAGACTACCATAAAAATTTCAAAGCCATTGGGCAAGTAAAACTTGCTGTATCTAAAATAACAGATGATATGTCTATTTCTAGCATAATTAGGAAACCTTATTAAAAAAGTGTCAAGCAAAAGATTTCCCATTTTTCCTAGCATCATTCTAGCATAAGAATAGCACTCATCAAATTTTACCTCCACTGGATCTATAGAAAAATTATGAAAATTCACACAAGATCCATCCATTAATAAAAGGAAATTCTATAACTTAAAAACTACACATGCACTAGCTCTGAAATTTTAACCAAAGCTTCTAATAAGCAATAATAGACTACCCACAAAATTTCAAAATTTTTGGACCACAGAAACTCAAGATAAAATTCAAACAAGTTTGCATGTATCCAAAAACACATTTCAAAGTCCTATTTAATTCATCCAGAATTTCTAAAACATGTGCTCATATAATATTTTTGTTAAATACTAGACATTATCATGAACTCAACAAAATTGGAACCATAGCATTTGGATCTATATACTAGGAAATACATATTTTTGAATATCAACACAAATCTGTGAAATAATAAAGCAAAACAAATAAGAAAACACATCACAGCCACTGTTGGGCCGGCCCGAAGGAACGGTGGCCCGCGAACACGCGCAAACGCAGCCCAGCACTCGGCGCGGCACAGGCTGGTTCCCGCTGCGCGCGTCAGCGACTGACAAGGAGGGCCCGCATGTCAGCGAGACCAGGCAGGGGAGCGGAGGAAGACGACGGCGCAACTCGCCGTCGGTGGCTCCTCCGGCGAAGGCAACGGTGCCAATGCGTTCGGCTCACCCTAGCGGACCTAGGGGAACCATCTATTGCAGCTAAGGACGTAGCTAGAGGGGGTGGCGATGAGCACGGCGACGCACGGCCGCGGCATGGCCAACTTTGGCGAGACGACGGCGTCTCGGCCCTAATGGCCCGCTCTCCGAGCATCAGCAGCCCACGCAGCAGCTAGCGCAAGGGAGAGAAGAGGATGGGAAGGCCGTGGTGGCAGTTGGTCGCGCGGAGCGCCAACTCCGGTGAGGTCCCGCCATGGCGGCGGTGGAAGAACTGGCGATTACGCCCTTACCCAGCCTCAATCGCCCCGGCTAAAAGGTGGAGGTGGTAGAGGAGATCACGGCGACGCTAGCAGCGAGATGGCCGGCGTGTTTTTGCAGCGACGAGCATGCACGACGACGGCGACGCTCGGTCGGGAAAGGAGGGCGGCTGCGGACTCGGTGTTGTGCGCGGAGAAGGCGAGATGGAAGCGAAGGGAGCTACGAGTGCGTTCGGGCAGGCACTGGCCCTCTTCTGGAGCGCGGACGCGCGACGTGGTGACCTTGGCAGCGCATGAACGCCATGCGGCGAACGTCGCCTGAGCCGGTCGGCCATGACGGTCACTGACCGATTTCTGAAAACAGCGATTCAGTGATCAGCGAAGGTGACTGGCAACACGTATTCGACGCATTGGATCTCTTAAACCGTGGCGATCCAGGTTAAGTTGTAGTTAACAAAGTTGGAGACCTACGTGAGTACTACAAGTTTGCTAATTGGAGCTCGAGCTATTTTGGCTTGGTTAGTGAGATACAGTGCTCCAAACATCAGCTCAAGGAACTGAAATCTGCTTTGTGACTTAGAAAATTTTCAAATGTTGAATCCACCATCAATGCTGACTGGTGGGTCCTTTTTGAACATGTTCTAGCCATTTTCGTGAGATGATCATATTGAGACTTTTGTTCCTTGATAAATTTGCTACAACTTTTGTAAAGAGTGCACAGCCATGCAAGGTTTCTAAGTTGGACTTTTGAATCAGTCAAACGGTGACACTCCAAGGGTCAATTAAAGTCAAACTTGCACTTGAGGGCATTTTGGTCATTTTGATCTACATGAACAATGTCCCAACAAGTAACCTAAGTATAGTTAAGGTGTAATAGACCATGATCAACCACTTTACAAAATTGTAATACCACTTCTAATGATCACATGTGATAAAGAAAGTAAAACAAGCAATTCATACATATGTTTCAATACAATGTTTCACATATTGCATGACCTTGTTGTTATCCTATACTTGTCACATTACTACCATGTTGCCATGCTTCAAGATATGAGAAATTCATGTTGCATTCATATGTTGCACTACTACCATTCGCAAGCAATCCAGTACGAAACAAACAGAATATGCGAATGTTTCATATGTATGTTTCAGGGACCATGGCATGATGAGATAGATGATGCACATGTTTATGAAACGAAATGCAATTAGTAGAAGCAAAAACACCTAGGGTGTTACAATAACTAAATGTGGCATATATCGAATTCTTTTAGCCACTGCTTGTGTGCAGAAGCAAAAAACATCCCAACCGTGCTTGCCCTAATATGAGTATTTGAAGTAATAAACCTTTGAAGAACATCAATGTACCTCCCTTCTAGAGATTGGGTCGAATCCAACCTAGAGCCACGGAACCCTGCATCTTTTCCTCAACGGGCTTCACTTCGGATGCGCCGGTAGTAATATCAACGATCTCCAATCGATGGACCAAGTCATATGGATCCCCATACAATGGCTCAAACATATAGATTTTGTTCTCCTTATACTTGGATACACTTGTTCCACTGAAGCTTTCATTGAATTGTTTAGACACGAATAGTGTCTGATCACCGATGTCCCTCACCCTGGACAACTCCGGTGTACGGTCGTGGAGGTTGCACTTATAGATCGCGCTGCTATAGGTAAAGCTCTGTGTCTCATGGAACGTGATCACCATGGCACCCACAATGTGCAGCTCACCGTTTGATTCCAGGTAGCTACAGTGGTAGAGCCCGGCAGCTGGCGACAGCGATGGTAGCAACGTCGCGGTTGGAGTAGCGCCGGCGACGTTGCTGCTGTAGACGGAGATTTCTCCAGTGCAATCGATCGCCAAGAACTTGTCTTGGCAGTGGACGATGGACCCCACGAAGAACTCCAGTTTGGTGTCGAGCAACGTCCATGCGTTGTCGACTCCAACCCGGCAGAACGCGACCTCCGTGGAGCACCCAAGCATAGTCATGGCCACGCACTCACGGACGGCGGCGTTAGGCGGCGTCGAGAGCACGATCTCACGGAAGAACACGTCCCTCTTGTCTTCTAGCTTGATGGCTCTGCCTACAGCATCCGTGTCCCTATAGCCGTTGGTGGAATGGAGGACCCACCGGTCGTGGACCCTAGGCACGCGTTCCGATGAGGACACCGCCACGACGTGTTCGCCTGCTGGCGAAAGCTCAACATAGGGGGCACGGGCACCGGCGAATGCATTCAGCAGCGTCACGAATGCCGCCTCATCCATGAGCGCCAGCCACCCACACGAGAAGCCACACGCCACCTTGCCGCGCACGTCGGGTAGTGTCTTGGACAAGACCTTCTTCTCCAGGACGCAGTAGAAGCCAACACGATCCGAGTCGGAGGTCGAACGGGAGCAGCAGGAGCGGCCCGAAGGTCACGAACGGGACGGCGGCGCGCCATGGGGAGCAAGCGGATCGAAAGGACGTCGTGTCGTGGCCTGACGCGAGACGCTGCTCGATGGACTCGAGGAGATCCTCTGTCAGGCCGGATCTCCAGTCAGGGAGAGGTAGGGACATTCTCTTGGGATTGGGAGACTGAGCCATGGAAGACAGATGACATCAACTATGGTTCACGCAAGAAATGGTGTCTGGTGTCTACTGTCGCGATGGACCATGGATTGGAGAACGGGGATATGGGGAAAGGATTCAAAATGAACAGACCCAAGGGCAATTTCAGCAAGAAACAGCAAGCGATGGCGATGGAACACGTGAGCATGAAACCACATGAAAGGAGGAAAAAGTTGTCCCTTTTGTAAATGCAAAGAGGAGAAATAATTAATTGTAGGCAGATTTGACAAGGTTCTCAGAAATGCAAAGATGTTCCTTTTGTCTTAATTCTCTTTCCTTCTGTGTTAATTCTCTTTCCTATTGCTCGTTGTCATGTATGCTGGTACATGCAAACATGCAATGTGTATATGGATAGCACAATAATTTTCTACTTCCTATTTTGCCGTGATTCCTCTATCACATGACAGGCAATATTTAATCAAGGAGAATGGCACACTTCCTATTTTAGCCATATCAAAGAGATGTCGTGGGATCGCAGGCGTGGACAGACGGATGAACCAAAACAAATGTCGTACCAAAAAATGTCCACACTTTGTTCTTTTTAGTTGTATAGAAGATAAAGTCTCCCTGTCACACAAATGGGCCCAATTCAGCTACAGAGACAAGCCCAATAATCCAGGCCCATTGCGTGCAATGCGGGTCACTCCGAAGGTCGTGATGATGAGCCAGCATCAGGATCGAACGGTCCAGATTCAGAAAGCAACAACCACGCCTTCAGCGCAAAACCCTCCCGGCTCAGACTCGTCTGTTGCAGCTCCGCCGCCGCCCCGCATCTAACGCACTTCCCCCCTACCCTCCGCCGGAGCCCGAGGCAAGATGGTAAGCTCTAATCCCCTCATCGTCCGCCTACCCATGATCCGAATTTGTTGCGCCGCTCATCGCCAGCGTGCTCGATTGGATCCTGAGATTGATTGGTTGCGCAGGTTCTCCAGAACGACATCGACCTCCTCAACCCACCGGCAGAGCTCGAGAAGCTCAAGCACAAGAAGAAGCGCCTCGTCCAGTCCCCCAACTCCTTCTTCATGGTACTTGTTCTTATCCCTAACATGCTCTCGTTTCTGTGGTGGGTGTAAGCTAGGCGTTTCCGGTTCACCTTTTCTTTACCCCCCGTGAAAACTCTTATTTTTTGTGTTGCAGGATGTCAAGTGCCAGGGATGCTTCAGCATGTAAGTTTTCGTGTCCGTCAGATTCATTTCAAGGTTTAGATTTATTTAGTTCTCGCCATTGATTGATTGTGGTTTACCATTGAACCTGCCCTGGTGCATGTATTTGGCTTAAACTGAGGTTCTTTTGAACTGAAATATTTCTCCTGTTAGTAAATAATTTATCCAATTGTAACCGTTATCACAGTGATGTTAGGTGAAGGCTAATATGTTACTAATACATTGGGACAAAGAAGACTAGCCTGTTAGTAAGCTATTGTTAGATGCTTGGTATTTATTTGTTGCACGGCAATGCATATTATCAAGTTCTATTGTTTGACCTTCAAAATGATTATGTGTAATTTTGCGTAGTGTATAGTAGCAACTTTCTACAAGTTAGGGTATTAAGTAGAGTTTGAGACAATGTTTATAAACTTCGGAAGCTGTTTAATTGCATGTTACTGGTCCAATTCTAGATACAATTGATTTTTCTTTGTCCTCGACAATTTTAAACTGACATAGCAAGTCGTAGAAGACAAGTAAAAGAATGTTAGTTTTTTTGTTTATTTGGTGTACGTCAGTGTTGAATGCATATAGTGAGTTGGATTGTTTAACCTGCAAAATGATTCTCTTCAATTTTACAGTGTTTTTACCTTACATGGTTAGTGTATAGTAGTAACTTTCTACAAGTTAAGGTATTATTTAGAGTTTTGGGAAACTGTTTATAAAGTTTACTTGTCTTTTGTCGGGAGCTGATTTCCTCATCTTTGGTCAGGAGCTGATAGTTGTCCTGTTACTGGTCCAATTGCAGCAACATTTGATTTTTCTGGGTCATTATCAATCTGATTGAAATTGACTTGGTGCGTTGTAGAAGGTTACTAGAGAAACTCAGTAGATTGTCACCATGATTGCTTGCTCCCAGTGGACTGATGTCTTTCTATTTGCCATTTGAGAAGTGGCAGTGGGTTTTCTGTGCATTGTGTAATGTATCAGTTAAGGACTGTCTCGAGAAAGGGGTGGTTTGGTAGTTTCAAACTCAATTCCAAATCTATCACCCCTCAATACAAAAATACAAATAGGCACCTAAGTTTGGATTAGCATGTTAAGAATTAAGATATATTGGTACCATCAAAACTTCATAATGATTTCTCATTTGCTCTTTGTGTCTTGAGCTCCCAAATGACTAGGATGTTTTAACATCAATTTAAGCATCATAAGCTTATACTGTTTATTTCATTGTGTTATGGTATGAATGTGTTATAAACCTTGTTTTTTAATCTCGCTCGTGTGCCTTCTGGTAGAAAACTAGTCTAATGGTGCAATTCATGTTGTTTTGGCAGAACCACTGTTTTCAGCCACTCCCAGACTGTTGTGGTGTGCCCAGGCTGCCAGACTGTCCTCTGCCAGCCCACAGGAGGAAAGGCGAGGCTCACGGAGGGCTGCTCTTTCCGCCGGAAGGGAGACTAGAGCGGTGTCTGTTAGTACTGGATCGCGGCATCTGTTAATACTGGATCACGGTTGTCAATCTCCAGTATGCAGTCTTCAAGTTTTGCTCTATGCCAAATATTAGTGTCATGAACTGCCTTAGCTATGGTTTTCCATATGTTGTTCTGGTGCTGCTATGTATTGCATGTTGGCTATTGTGCCAAACTTATCGCTGGTTTGGTTCGGATTATGATAAACTAATGGATCTTTGAATTATGTTATGCTATTGACGATATTTGGCGACATGCTGTTTCTTGGTAATCATGGGCACTTGTCCTTTGGATGGAGGGAAGTCAGAGGGCAGGGCACTTCTTGTAGTTATGTTTTTTTTTTTTTGAAACATCTTCTTGTAGTTATGTTGGCTAAGATATTAGCCGGTTTACGTTCAGTACCCTCTCTTCCAACTTAATATTTAAGAAGAATTGCATTTAAAATGAAAATGTATCCTAGTTCCAACTTTATATATTTGTAAAAAGAATTGCATTGTACGTCCCTCAACTTGAGCCATTGTAGCTCCTGGAATCTGCCCATACTTGCATTTTGCTTCTTCAGGTACATGGCGCGGTTTGCACCGCAGCTCCATTCCACCATCAGCAGGTACTTGCGCGTGAGGCGAGTATAGGGAGAGAGAGAACCAATCACCTTTTACGGACAGACGAAACCAGGCTTGGCTTGCGAGAGCCTAGCTGCCCAGAACGAGAAGCAATCATGGTTGAGACCCTGGATGAATTGCCTTGCCTGGGCATTTGAGTTGCCTGTGATTGAGAAGTTTTTTGCCTGCCCAGGTACATGCAACTAGCGAGCGATGTTTGGTTGGCCCGGAAGGAGAGCCCGACCTCCTCGCGCAGTTCCTGCTCCGCCCCCGGGCGACGCTACCGCCTTCCAGACCTCCAGCCGGCCCTGTTGGACCTCCACGACGCCGGCGTGTCCTTCCATGTCATGTGCCGGCGGCTTTGACTCTGCGAGAGTACGGGTTTGCGGACGACGAGCACCTCCTCAAAGTTCCACGTCCACTGCGTTCACACGTGGTTGCTGTTGCACTCCACCAGCACACTCTGCCGCCGGCAATCTGGGCTTGCTTCTTCCCCTGATCTGCTCCCCGTACGTTTATCTTGTTCCACAACATTGGATCGCAGGAAGCTTGCATTGGAGAGAACTTTGCCCTCCTCTGATCACCTTCTTTCTTTCGGCCAGCGTATGCCCCCATGGCGGCATGGCTGCAAGCTCATTAACTTCTGTTAGCAAATGGTGGAATGGAGCAGCGATGCAAAAAAAATCTCGCACAAGCAAAATGGAAGTTCAAGTGTGTTGGAATTAGCTACTGTTGCAGCTGCACTGCACATCGGTAAAGATATATCGCAACGGAACAATCTCAAGCATCTCTGGTAAAGATGACTTATATTTTGTTGTCGGTGCATCAGTTAAGCATTTTTTATTGGTACATCAGTCGTCTTTGCATGTTCACTATACCAGCGCAGAAGAAGTTGCTGCCTTCCAGGATTCTTGGCTGTGCTGCCAAGTAAGCAGTCCAGCCACTGCTGCGTCCTTGTCCAAGGCACTGGCATGGCCATGGCGTACAAACTCGGGCTTCTTTGCGTTACTCACAGGTTCTTCATTACTCCTAAGTGTGGGGGTACCACCCCGATGCCCACGACAGATTACATGGGCTGCACCCCCAGGGGTGGTCCAGCCCACAAGACGAAGCCTTGCGGAGCACGGCGCTGCTCGGCACGCCCCGCAAGACACCGAAAAGATATCCTGAAGGTACTACAATATATGTTAGGATACGTTCGATCCCATGATTCATGTAATCTGTTATTACTTTCCGGTTATCTCCTAGATCTAACCGACTTGTAACCCTACCTCCCACACTATATAAGGCGGGCAGGGATCCTCTCAAAATACAGACAATATCATACGAAGCCAATACAAATCAACAGACCACAGGAGTAGGTTATTACGTCGCGCTGACGGCCCAAATATGTTTAACTCTTGTCTCTATTGTCTTCTTGTTCTCGATTTGCTCCGGCGGTGACACGGTCAGGAAGAACGCCCGCCTCCACTATCCCGTTGAGTTCCGTCTCCCCCGTGAGCGACGGCACCCATTCATTGTCACGGCTTGTCCCGGCGGTCGCCTTCTTCGGGTTACCAACTCTCTCTTCGGCTTCATCTCTCAAATTTGGATTGGGACTGGCGGCGGAAGCGCGTGTGGATGTGAATCGGGAAGCTCGAGGGCTGAGGAGGAAGACGAAGTGGCGAAGTGGCAAACGTGGGAGCGCGGAGTGCGGCGGCGCAGTTATAAAGCACCCTCCCCACTTTTCGCATTCAAGGATTTTTGGGAAACCACTCCACGATTTGCGCCTCTCCAAATTCTCCAAAGCGGCGTGCTGGGCCGTTACCTGGGCTTCCGCGCAACTGCTGCCCATATCACCCATTTTTCGCCGTAACTTGTTACTGCACACCGAATATTCGCCGACTTCTCCGCAATACCATTAAGACTCAGTAACTCCTACTGTACAATCATTACTCCGGATTTTTCTCCATGATTTGATTTCTCCAAGATTTCCACTTGTGGCTCGGGGACTACGTCATCACAACGACTTGGTTCCTCACCACACTGAGGACTTTCTTCTGGTTACTGTTGTTTCTGACCCTGGCACCACGTGACTACGTCATCTACTGTTAGGCTCGGGGACTAAGTGGGCACACTTCACCTTACAGTGAATGTGTTTTTCTCATTTTAGGGCTTCGCCCGGGGATTGGCTGCTTGCTCGGCTAGTCTTCTGTTTTTCTTCTACTTTGGACCCTGGCACCACGTGACTGTGTCACCTACTATCAGGCTCGGGGACTAAGTGGGCACACTTCACCTTGCGGTGAGTGTGTTTGCTTTAATCTGGAAGACTCCGCGCCTCCTGAAGTTGAAGAAGACTATCTCCCTTTCTCGTAGTCGGACTCTAAGTGGGCACACTTGGTCCACTGCGAGAAAATTTTTGATTTTGAACTTGAGCTCCTTATATCCTTATGGCAAGCTTTACTTGGGATACACAGCTCGGCGACGGTTCACAACTGCTCGGCGACTCAGTATGGTGGTCGAACTATGAGTTTGACTGCTCGGCTTTGTTTACACCTGCTCGGACAAGGTTAAGACGACGTTGCACAGCGGATACAAGGTGCTCGGGGACTAGCTATGGGGGGTACGACCCGGATACCCACAACAGACTATATGGGTTGCGCCCCCAGTGGTGGCTCAACCCACGAGACAAAGCCTTACGGAGCACGGCGCTACTCGGCGCGCCCCGCAACACCGGAAAGATATCCTGAAGATACTACGAGATCTGTCAGGATACATTCGATCCTATGATTTCTGTAATATGTTATTACTTATCTTCTAGATCTAACCGACTTGTAACCATGTCCTCCACTATATAAGACGGACGGGGACCCCCTCAAAACACACACAATACCATATGAAGCCAATATAAACCAACATACCATAAGAGTAGATATTATGTCGCGCTGACGGCCCAAACCTATCTAACTCTTGTGTCTCTGTTGCCTTCGTATTCTCGATTATACGTATCTTTGTCGATCAATCTACGTGAGATACCCTGGGAGGAGTAACGATGTTATTCTGTCGACAGCATTAATCCAAACTCCGGCCACGAATGTTCCTTGCTTCTGCATTACTACAAGCATAAATCCAAAAGCTGAGCAAGTGTTCCATTCCTCCAGCCTAAAACTGCTTTCTGCCAGCGCTGCACTGAAACAAGCGATGGTACATATTCCAGGCCAAAGACAGACTGCAGGCAGCACACACAGTAGCCACCATGGCATCATCCCGGGCGGCACCCGCTGGCGACGCAGAGGCGGCGCCGCTGCTTGCGGCCACCGGTGACGGCGCGCAGCATGCGGCACCCACGACGACGACGACGACGACCGTCATCGGCAAGGCCCTTAACAGCACCGCCGACCTCGCGAAGCACCTTCCCACGGGCGCCGTGCTCGCCTTCGCGGTGCTGTCGCCGTCCTTCACCGCGGACGGCACCTGCAACGCCGCGAACCGCGCGCTGACGGGCTGCCTCATCGGCGCCTGCGCACTCTGCTGCTTCGTCCTCTGCTTCACCGACAGCTACCGCGACGCCGCCACGGGCGCGCTGCGGTACGGCTTCGTCACGCCCAGCGGCCGCCTGATCCCCATCGACGGAGGCAGCTCCGGCTCTGGGTCGCCGCCGCCGCGGGACGACAGGTACAGGCTCACCGTGCGCGACGTCATGCACGGGCTGCTGTCGTTCGCGGTGTTCCTGGCCGTGGCCATGGTGGACCGCAACGTGGTGGCGTGCTTCTACCCCGTCGAGTCCGCGTCCACCAGGCAGCTGCTGGCCGCCGTGCCCGTGGCGGCCGGCGCCGCGGGGAGCTTCCTCTTCGCCATGTTCCCGTCCACGCGGCGCGGGATCGGCTTCCCCGTGGCGGCGTCCTCATCCTGACCAATGAATACATAACAGTTCGGCATCGGCTGCTGGCGGGCTAGGCCTTGTGTGCATGATTGGCATCCTTCGTCGCTCACTTTACTGACGGGCTAAGGGCCTGTTCCCATGAACCAGCTCCTAAACCTCCCTTTGTTTGGTTTGGTTGAGTAAAAGAGGTTAAAAAGGTCTTCTAGTCGGTGTGTTTGGCTCGAAATTGACTAAAAGATGAACTAAAAAAAAAGGTAAGGTTTAGTCCTATTGAGCAGTATTTGAGTGACTAGTTGGCTAAAGACCATTTAGTCCCACTTAGTCAAAGTGTTTGGATAAAAAGTGATTAAATGAGATTAAATTTAGGAGGTTAAGAGTGAACCAAACACCCCCTAAAGCTAGCTGCTAAATCACACAAACGACCGTCATGCTTGTGCATTGCCATTGGATTCCCTCACTTTACAAGTTAATTAATTACAATGCACGCAATGAACTAGTGTGGTATTTTCATCACTTGTTTTCATAGGCTGTCGGACACGCGTTTAGTTCTGTTTGTGAATGATTTTGGTCGGTCAGATGGCCTTTCGGAACGAGGAAACGAAGTGCTGAGAGAAACAAGATCATCAACATTCCAGAGAGGAATCGCAAACGGAACCATGTTCAACATAGTAGCAAATACAGAGACAAACCACCAGCTAAAATCATGCTTCACAAAAAGAGAGAGAACGCAAGCATATGATCAGAAACTATCACGTCTCACCGAGGCAATTGGCTGATTTGTTCAACAAAAGTGGCTAACATAATAATTCACATCAAATATGTCAGTGCACATTGCAGAACCCCTGCACATTGGCCAACTAAGCATGTAGTTTGTTTTGACATACAGTATACCAATAACATGACCAGCATATTACAGCAACGGATAGAACAAAACGTGGCCGCTAGATTTAACATCGGTACGACCAGATTACACAAGATTAATACCAAAAAAGACTAATTAATACATGAGCATAAAAAGTAAGCAACCATCATCCACAATGGCAAGCACAAGTTCAGGATTATTAAAACCAAGTTCCGATGATGTCCAAAAATTGGGCTCTGACGGGCAAACACTCAACCTAAACGCAAGCAGACTCAGGGCAGCTCAGTACCTGTAGTCCTTGACGTGGAGGCTCTCCGAGACACCCTCGCCGGCAGCAGCGTCACCCTTGTATGTGCCGAGGGTGGCCTCCGAGTTGGCCTTGCACCTGGTGAGGAAGGCAGCCCTGGCCTTCTCAACATTCTCCTCCTTGCCAGCCCAGACCTTGAGGGTGCTTGCCTGAAGGGCACGGCCGAACAAGAAGGATTGGGACCATGTCTTCTTGGTGTTGAGCTTGTTCATGGCGTTCAGGTTTAGGGTGGCCTCCTCCTCACTCTGTCCACCAGAGAGGAAGACGATGGCGGGCACAGCAGCAGGGACAGTCCTCTGGAGGGCACGGACAGTGTACTCGGCAATCACCTCAGGAGCCACCTTCTTGGAGTCGGAGCCAGGGGTGACCATGTTGGGCTTCAGGAGGGTACCCTCAAGGAGGACATGGTGCTCGTTGAGAGCCTTGTAGCAGGCAGTAAGGACCATCTCCGTGACATAGGCACAGCGCTCAATGTCATGTGGCCCATCGACGAGGATCTCAGGCTCAACAATTGGCACCAGACCGTTCTCCTGTCAGACGATGGCGTAGCGAGCAAGACCCTGAGCGTTCAAGTCGATGGCAAGCTGTGATGGCTCGTTAGGGCCGATGTTGAGGACGGCACGCCACTTGGCAAAGCGGGCACCAGCCTCATAGTACTTGGCACAGCGCTTGCCAAGGTCATCATGGCCCTGTGTGGTGGTCTCCTTGTTAGTGCCAGCAACCTCAATGGTGCCCTTGTCAACCTTGATGCCAGGGAGCACACCTCCCTCATTGAGGACATCAACGAAGGGTTTGCCATCCTTGGTTTTCTGGTAGAGGGTTTCCTCGAAGAGGATCACACCGCTGAGGTACTGGAGAGCACCAGGGGCACAAAAGAGGAGCTCACGAAGGGCACGGCGGTTCTCCTCAATGTTCTTGACATTGATGCTTGAAAGGCGCTTGCCAATGGTGCCTGTGGACTCATCAGCAGCAAGGATACCCTTTCCAGGGGTGCCAATGTATGCGGCGTTCTTGATGAGCTCATCTGCAAAACAATCAGCAAATATGTTTAGCTAACAAGCAGTACATATTGATAATTCAGATCACAATCAATAAACATGGTTCATGTAACAAATATACATTAGCTAATACTGACGTGTTGGAAGTTCCAGAACTATCGAAACATAAAACTGTGTAACATAGTGACCAACCAAATTGAGATTAAATTAAATTAACACAATATATATCCCAAGAGTGTAAGAATTTTCTTTACAGATATGACTAATGAAGATAACAACGTCTTTGCATAGCTCCATTCTAGAAAACAAGAATGACACAATGGAAAAAGCATATATATTTAACAACAACAACAACAAGGTAATGTCATTTGAATCTAGACCACAAACCACCAGCACATGCTAGCAAGCTAATTTGATAATTATGATAGTAATATATATTGTATCCACCATGATGTAGACACATCAAGCTAATTTGACAATTATGATAGTAATACATATTGTATCCACCATGATGAAGACACATAAAAACTAGGCAGACACATACCGCTAAGCATTACATACCGCATAGATCTGAATAAAAATCAGCAAATCCCATAACAAATTGCATCATAAAGGCGCACTACCTGCCCTTTGAACCAACCACGCATTCCTAAGGAGACTGCGCGGACCCTAGCAACTTTGCAAAAATCCTACGCCCAAAAGGATCTAGACAAAAGGCTCTATAAATCATTGGCATATCGATCAACACAGGATAGGTAAGCTAGATCTGAGAATACCACAGCGAACGATTAGCAGATCTGCACTAGACAGCACAGCGAACAACAACAGAAGCATATGAGCAAGGAACGAACAAGAGGAGGTGATGATTGTACGCACCCTTGTACTTTCCGCAGTAGGCCGACATGATCGATGCGCGCGGGAGGGGAGGCTACGGGATTTGCAAGGGAAATTGGGGGCGAATGGCTGAGCGGGGTAGGCGGCGATGGAGATGTGGGGGTTCAGGCTTGTGCGAGGGGAAAGAAACGGGATCCGATCTGGGTGCGCCACCAGGAACGCGCAGGCGGCACTGCGGGCGGTAGCGGATGCAGATCCATCAATGTCCGGAGTTCTCCGTATTTCCGTCCAAAGCCCTCGTTTTTTTTTTTTTTTTTGCGTGGACCCGTTTTTTTGTTTCCTTCGTCTTTCGAGATGCATAGCATCTCTCTAAGAGTCTTTTTGAAATTCATTTTTAATAATTATTATTTAAAGAGTTATTTAAACAAAAATTGCTCTTTATATTGTTTACTTTCTAAAAGCACTTTTATATATCATGTATGTTCTTTAGAGAGCTAACTCTCCTCTCTGTTTTTAGTTAGCTAGAAATTTGAAATATTATATGGCAATATTTGATGATCTAATTAAAAAGGACTTGGGGGATATCTTTTCAATAAAAAATATCTACTTTTATCAATTAGAAAAGGATATAAAGAGATTTTTAAAATGTGTTTACCATAGTGTACTCACTTGCTATGTTTATCTATGAGAAAATTGGTTGTGTAGCATCAGAAGATCACGATCTCCGTAAAATACTATCGAAAATTTGCGTCCTTATAAAATACCACCAAAAGATTCAACCGTGAACTTAAAAATAGCATTATTAAAATAAATACCACCTCGTAAATACTGCAAAAGATTCACACCACCACCACCACGTGAACTTAAAAATAGCATTCCTTGCAAATCCGCTCTCGCCCCGCTTGGGATTACATCGCGCGTAAATCGGCGTGGATGGAGGAGGAGGAGGAGGAGAGCCCAACAACAGGACTTCCTCAACCGCGTAGCGACATCAAGGCGCTCGGCAATGCGCACTTCGACTCTCATTACGCTCCCATGCGCTTCGTCTTTCGTCGACTCCGTCTTCATCCGCGTCATTGTGTCATCCCGACGACCAGCCGCCCTCCTCCTCCTCCATCATCTTAGGGCTCCCCGCCTAGCACACTACACTAGTTGCGGTGAAAGGTCCTAATATGGCTAGAGGGGGGGTGAATAGCCTATTTAAAAACTAGAAATCAACTAAAGCAATTTGATTAGTAAGACAAATAGCGAAATACAAACTTGCTCTAGCTCTTAAAGGGTTGCAAGCCACCTGTCCAACAATTCTAGTTGCAATGATCAATTGCCTACTTGACTACTACTCACTAAGAGCTCTCACAAATGCTACACTAAAGAGCTCCACTAGATATGTTTAAAGCACAAGGCAAGCTCTCAATTTTAGTTACACTAAAGAGCTTGATATATCTAGTTTGCTTGAAATGTAAATGAGTAAGGATACGATTATACCGAGGTCGTGGAGTGAACCAATCACAAGATGAAGATTGAGCCAATCACCGGAGAATGCAAATGACAAGAGACAACCGATTTTTTCTCATTCACGTGCTTGCTTGCCAACACGCTAATCCCTCGTTAGGTCGACTAACACTTGGTGGTTCGTTGGCTAAGAGGTGTTTCACAAACCTCGTCCACACGATGAGACACCGCAAGAACCGACCCACAAGTGAGGTAACTCAATGACACGAGCAATTTACTAGAGTTACCTTTCGGTACTCCGCCGGGAAGGTACAACTCCCCTCACAATCACCGAAGGTGGCCACGAACAATCACCAACTCGTGCCGATCCTTTACCGCTTCAACTGTCTAGTGGTGGCAACCACCAAGAGAAACAAACGAAATCCATGAAGAACACCGACGACCAAGTGCCTCTAGATGCAATCACTCAAGCAATGCACTTGTATTCTCTCCCAATCTCACAATGATGATGGATCAATGATGGAGATGAGTGGGAGTACTTTGGCTAAGCTCACAAGGTTGCTATGTCAATGAAAAT